CGTTCTTCTCAGGGAGGTCAGCGTAGTGAACGAGCAGTAGCTTAAATGTGACGTTTTCAAGTGTAAATTTATTTTACCTATGGAATAAATAATCTTTGACTTTGTCAAGGAAGTAGAGCTCCTAATAGTAGAGCTACAATTTTTGTACAGTCCCTTTTTTATATAACTTCTATCTTTCCAGCTAAATATTCTTACAATCGGGATTTTGTTTTTTTAAATTTATTGATAGATAGATAGATAAAATGTTTATTTGCATCTACAGACACACACACATAACAGAAAAATATGTAATATAATAAAAAGGAAAAAACAACAGAGTCTGCTGTGGCAGTGCAAAAAGGCCATAGCTCAGCGTTGGTGTGTACTCAGGAGCAAGCCAAATGTTGTTCCACCTGACGTAATGCATAGCTTTTAATCGCATTGTTGTGTAAAGGAATAATATGTCCTATCTACTACCTTTTCGTTCGTAGTTAGATAAAAAGATAAAAGCGTCGATAAATTTTGATAATAAATTACAGTGTGATCAATTAACATTTTGTCGAAATTTTGTGTTTGCACTCGTGTTGTTTTGGTAGAGAATATAGTACGTGTTTGTTCTACGTTGTTTTTAGAAAGTGACAATACCAATGGTTTTAACTGAGAAGTAATTATATCTGTGGTTCAATAAGTGGTACAAGAAAAATGTTAGTTTTAAAGGGAAAAAACGGCAAGTTGTTTTTATAAATTCGTAATAAATACACTTAACCACCGCCATTCAGTGACTTATAAAAATAACCTTTTTTCAGTCTTCGCAAAACTATGGTACTTTCTACAGACATACATTCTAACCGTAAACCGGTTCGACCTGTTCTTGCAAGGCTCCTTGTTGGTTATTGTGCTGTTGGAAACCAATGCCTATCTACTGCTGCGCAGAGACGCCAGGACTGGGCGATTGCCAGCAATGATTGAAGGTATCCTCCAACAGGGTAGCCTGTTGTAAAAAGAAAATTGATTATTACATACATACACACTGTCACACGTGGCTTCTGCTTGTCGTGACTTCCTTCCACACATTACGTTACGTGTCAAATAGGTATGTTGAATTTAGGCACAGAGGCAGCAGTAATAATTATAAAGCATGTATGTGCTAAAGATAACAACTTCTTGATGATGCTTAATTTATACAGGTTGTAACCGAAAGGTGCAGTGGAAATTCAAGGTCGTAGAGAGTTACTATCGAATGGTAGTTAACGAAGCACGAGACCTTGGTGCCCTGCTCGATTCTGAGATGACCATGTCTGGGGGGCGCACCGTAATTTGTGGTTTATCAAGCCTTCAGGAACAAGTTCCTGTCAAGACTAGTGACAATGTATTATATTTGCCATGAACACACACATTATACAACCACAAATGACACCCAAACTCGCGAGAGAAATAAATGTAGGCCATACAAATATTTCTCCTGACCTGGGAATCGAACCTGGGACCTCTGCGTGGCAGTCCACGGTGGCAGTAACTACAGTTTATATATTTAAGATTACACTTATGGTTCAGAGTATTACGCCAGTAAATGGCATACAAATATTAATAGCAAATACATTGACTTACATATAAATGGACGACAGGTCTAATACAAAAACCACGAAAAAAATGTCCCACGTCAACCTATTTAAACGTAGTGACATGTAAAGGAATATAAAAAGCTAAAACGTTGAATTTAAATTGCAATGTCATTGCAGTACTGCCTAATTTTGCTTGCAACAATTGAAAGGCGCAAAAAAAACACCATATTCAGCTTCTACTGGAAACTTACCAAAATGCACCATATGTAGCTTCTAGTGAAAACTACTTGAACACAGGTATAATGGAGTAGCCTTTATATTTATAAATAAATTTTCTACGTAAATGTTGAATTTCTTGAGTTTCGGGAACTCTCGTACCCATTTCTCGAGTTATTCGAGATTTTTTTTTAAACCGTAAAAAATTAGCTCAATCAACTATAAAACTAAATGTGAACTATTCGAAAGTTGTTTTGGACTGGGTGTTCTGATTTGTGCCCCGGAATAAATTCCATCGTTCTTGGTCCCAGGTTCGATTCCCAGTAGAACCAATTTGGGAAATGAACTTTTGTAAATTGGTTCTGCTCTTGGATTCTGTTGCTCTGATACTCATGGGGAGTGTGTACAGAGAGTTCCCTAGTTTCAAACCAGGTGATTGTCTTACAATAGAATACCAAGACCAGAACTATTTAGAAAAGTTAATTTATTAATATCGAGTTCTTAGGTTTTCGCGATTGTTACACATAGGAAATGAAACTATTTTTCCGGATTTAAATCGCGTATATTAATAACTGTAGCTGCATTCACATATCTCAAACATCTAATGTAAAATATCTTGGTGTCTATATTGATAAAAATCTTAACTGGTCTCTCCAAATCGACAAGCTTTCCACAAGAGTTAGGCGCCTTATTCACATTTTCAAAACAATCAGACAGTCCGCCGACTCTGAAACATTAAACATGATCTATTCTGCTCTCTGCGAATCAGTTCTTACTTACTGTGTCCCGGTCTGGGGCTGTGCTACTAAAGGCTCTTTTATTAAGGTTGAGAGAGCACAAAGAGCTGTTCTCAAAGTCATTCACTCCAAACCCTACAGATTTCCTACTAAAGATTCCATCTCTAGAGTTTTGACAGTGAGACAACTCTTTGTGCTTCGTGCAGTTGTACGGAAACACTCTTTGGTACCACTGGCGGACCCTTCCAAAAGGAAAAAACGCACAGTCTGTCCCGTCCCCCCACACAAAACAACGTTTTCATCTTGACAGTATCATATATCCAGCTCCATAATCTACAACCGTGTTAACAACATTTTGAACATTACCAATTTAAATAAATTTGAGGTTAAACATACTTTGTCAAATTGGCTTTTAAATCTGAACTATGATGATACAGAAATTCTACTACCAAACAGCACTTAATCACTCACTTACACCCACATACACAAATTCTCACACTCACTCATCCACACTCACTCCCAAACACTCACCCACGCGTACACCCACACACGCTCCAACACACACACCCACTGTCACTCACACTCAAATAGACTTACACACTTATACACACAGACACACACACACACACACACACACACACACACACAAACACACTTACCTAATTCCTTTGTATTTTACTGTTAATCTCGTTTGTAATATTTCAAACCTTGCTCCTTTTTAGTACCAATGCCCAAAATATCTGTTAATGTAATTTTTACTCCAATAGCTCAATTTATGTGGCCGGACACTGATTTCCAAGATACAGGCATGTGCCTAGTTTGGATGATCAGAGTTTGAACAAATCACTTTGTACAACTAGTATTTAATTACCGTTTATCTCAATTTTGTGATACAATCTTTTTTGGGAATAAATTATTATTATTATTATTATTTGTTTTTTCAAACAAACCGACGTTTCGGGCCCTTTACAGGTCCCATGTAA